GTTCGCTTTACGTCCGATTTATGGTCTACATAATCGACCAAGTGAGCAAACAATTAATGCGATTGTGACCAAGTTTCGCACTCAGTTTACTTTATTGGACATTAAACCAACCACACGAATGCGTACAGTGCGTACAGAAGAGAATATTGCGTCTGTTTCTGAGAGTGTTGCTGAAGACCGTGAAATGTCGATTCGTCGCCGTTCGCAGCAATTGGGTTTGCGAAACACATTTCGAACCGAACACTGATTTTGGTAATAAAATTCAATGATTTGCAAGCGTTGCTCGTTAGTAAGTCTATTCATGATGAAATGTCAAAGCATACTGAGCATCTTTCTCTTTGACACCATGTCTGAAATCCCACGTGATCTGTCAAATACTAATGCATGAAAATCCTAACCTCAAAAAAATCACCCGTTAGTAGATGTATGTATGTATGTACATACAGAAGCATGTTTTAAATACATACATATGCTGTCATTTTGAGTTTAACATTTTACATGACTGTAATGGGTGGCGATATTGTGGATGTTGTTGTTATTGTTGGTGCTAAGAAAGCAAATGGCTGCCGACTATGCGACGCCCCACGAAAAAGAAGCAGCTCATTTAAAGATACATACATATGTATGTATGTATGTCTGTATGCATGTATAATACTTAATGTGAAAAATAATAAAATGAAACGCCGCACAACTGAAATAACAACAACCAATTGTACATACATACATACATACGTACAGCAGGAGTAAAGCAAATACATACATGACTGTACGCAAGTATGTATGTATGTATTTATGTATGTATGCGCGTACTTGTTGTTATCAAGAAATATGGTGAGCACTTGTCGACAATAAACGCACACTTGCATACATATGTACATATGTATATTTGTAGGAATGTAAACGTGTAACTACACATGGATGTACAATAAAAATATCTTTGCAACTAAAATCACACGCTCGTTCACTGATGAGGCATAGTGGCAGAATTAAATCAAAACATCCAACCTCAACATCAACAACACCAACAAAAATAAATATCTACATGTGCACTTACTTACTACATATACATATGTATGTATATCAGCATAATAACAACAACAAGTGCTTACCGCAACGCGACAAAAAGCGATTGCTGACTGATGGCGAACAGCAACTATTTAGGCGGCTAACAGCGATATACATATGTATAAGCAATTGTATACACATGAACATAAAAACAACATATGTACATACATACATACATATATAAATAGTCGATCGTCTAGGCAGGCAAGTAGCCAATCAGCACGGGCCAATAAATATACATATCACTACTACTACAGCCCCACTAACAGCTACATTTTATATGTATGTATAGGATATCTTCGTCCATATATTTATATGTATGCATGTATGTACATTTGTGCTACCTCCCACCTGCACCTGATCGCGACACCTAACTACATAAGTAGACAGTCAAGCAAAGTGCTATGGATTTCAAACGGAAGCTCAAGCCTGAATGCGACTTTGATTTGCTTGTAAGTACTATGTAAGTATGTAGTAGTACGTATGCTGATGTGCGCACATCTAAACATACTATGGTATCAATGTATGTATGTATGTATAATACAAATTCAAATGGCGTTGTTTAATTTCCTTGTAATACATATTGCGAGAGACTTTTACGATTGAGGCAAGTGATCTCGTGGGGCGTGAACAACTCACCTTGTATTTCCACATTTCTTTTTTATACCCGAGCGCTTTATTATTATATATTATATATTTATTATTATTAACTTTTTTATTAAGTCTGACTGTCCGTCTGCGCACACGAAAACTCGAGCAAAAATTGAAATACCTATATCAACGAAATTTGGTTCGCATATTTTTCTAGGACTAAGGACAGACGGTATTGATTGAAATCGGTAGTGTGCAGAATTTACAATAACCACTAAGCAAAATATGAAATTCTTAAACATTTTTGGTAAATGGGTGTGCCACCGCCCACTTATGACTATTAAAACTCATTAAAATTATTGCGCTTGGTATAGAAAACTTAAAACGAGTATATACTTCACATATAACGGAAAATTTCAGAATATTCTCGTACAAATTCAAACATCCACGGAAAAAATGCACTCTTAAAATATGGGGTTTTTCGATTTACAAAGCAGTCAACAATTTTATTATACATACATACATAAGAAGAAGAGACAGATGATATATTAATGAAGTTGAGAAAGGAACAAATTTTTCATCGATGCACCTGAAATATCGATTTTTTTCCAATAATATTTATGAGAAAATTTATAAAAAGGCTGTAATCGGTGGACTAGTTTCGGGAAAATTTGGGGTATTCTTTTGAACTAGAAAAAAATCTAGAAAATCCAGAAAATTGTAAAAATTTTTATAAAATATTTTCTTCAAGTTTCGATTTTTCCCAGGTTTTAGGAATGTATGTGGTCCGCCCAAATCGAATTCAGCGCCAGACTGTTAACGCTTCAATTCCCAGTGTTACCTGGAGACTATCATACATTTTTTTTTTACCAGACGGCGATTTTTTTTGTGACCCAAAAAATCATCGAAGCACGTAAACTTAATTTTGGGTCGTAGATTACGGCCCTGTATACCGTTTTTCTAGATCAGGTCATTCTCGTAGTTTGCATTGTGAATGAAAAAAAAATAAAATTTTTACAGGGAAAACAAATTGAGAATAAAGGTTTACATTCTTTTGATTTGTGTTAAAGCCTGTTCTTTTACAAAAACATTAAGCTATCAACGAAGAAAATTGATTGATAAATAATATTTTAAATGGTCAAATGAAAATGCATAATATTTTTTTTTTTATGAAATTTGATTAGGAAAGAATGTTACTCATACGCCACGTATGAATTATTGATAAAATCATAAATTTCGCTTGATTATTATACTTAACAGTCAAAATATGCTGTGCCATAAGTGGGATACACTGTGCATTCTATTACAAAGAGCAATGACTAAAGTATTGTCCGACTATACGTCTTGCAAATTGACGAAACTATTGATGAAACTATCGAAGGGATGAACGCCGAAGAAGACCCAGACGATATTATTATATTTCCTCCGGATGGAGATGAAAACGAAGCTGACATTCTGCGTCTTTCTAGTCGCATGCTTCGGTCTCCAGTATAATTACAAAGTATACCCCTTGGCTCTGAAGAAAACTACTACGAGGAAGAAGAAATCGACGTTCCGGCACAGAAAATTAAAAAAAAGAAATTACCATAAAAAAACTGGCACAACAACACTTTACTTCGTGCGGTAGAGGATACTGCGACGAAGAAGTTTCTATAAACTTACAAGAAGACCATTGCAAGTTTGGAACTGCTGTTGAAATTATAACAAGTCTAGAGGTGAAATTATTGCCGCTAAGTGGCATGTCACAAAAGTCGATCGAATTGGATTTATAAATAAAAAATGGTCAAACTTTCAAGTGAATTGCCTAAGGATATGGGTGGATTTGACCGTTTTGACGAAAATATTGGGTCAGTGAGAGTAGGTCGTAGTTCTTCGTGGCAAGAAGTGGTGGTTCCCTTTGGATTCTAAAAAGGAAAACAGTTAATAACTTGAACTGCTGTGGTTTTCGAAGAATAATAATAAGTATTTAATTTACTACATAGTTATGTATGTATGCATTTAATTTTTCTCTTTTTTTATAAATATGTAAATGTTTTTGCAAAAGAAAAAAAAAAATGCACGAATAGTTTACACAAAGCCCAGTGTCACCTGTAGGTACATTTTTATATATATATATATTAGGGATATTTTTTGCGCATATCATGGGTACTTATTCTATTTATTTAGTAAGAGAAAGGGATTTCTTTAACTTAAAATTCTCTTAAACACATATAAAAATATTCCTTGCATGAATTTCAATTTCCTGTTTTACCACTCACAAGTGTTCGTACTAGGGATGTTGCGAATGTCATATTTTGTAGTCTAAAGTTCAAAAGGGGCGTATATAAGGCCGGCTGCACTGAACAGTAGTAGTAGTAGTTTGCCACCAATAGAGAGGATTTTCACCGAGATTAGCTCGTTTTCTTTAAGATAGGCCTTCAATTGAGCTTTAATTTCACATGTCTTAATGTCTCCAGATTCCACATCCGAGCCTTCGCTTTCGGTAGAGGAATCTAAAATTATTTCTAGGTTGCTAATAAGACTTTTTTGCAAAACATTCGTATCATTTGATGCGAATGCGAATTTCGAATGCGAATGTGTGAAATGTAAATATTCGCAACATCCCTGGGTCACCCTGTTGACGTATTGACGCATCAGCTCAACTGCTATGAATGAATTTAAACTAAATATTTAGTAAATGAATTTAAATTCAAATTACATATTCGTTTGTTATTCTTACACTTAGCGGCAGCTTAAGATGTTTTGTGCTGTTTTTCAGTTTTAGTAATTTTACTACATTTTTATGCTTATTTTATGCTCGAAAAGGTGACGAAAAGTTCAACACAAAGCATGATTTTTTCAGCCGTAAATCGCCTGAACAAAAAATTACAAAAAAAATGTAAAATACAAAACGGAAACATAAAAATTTGAGCTTAACTCAATTAGACTTTTACATACATACATATTTGGGCGGAATTTTATTTGACTTTTATGCTTGATTTCATCAAAGTTGGTCAAGTGCAATTTGTTTTGATTGGGTTTTACGACATAGGCCTAAATATGGTTGTTGCCTTAGGTAAAAGATTGTGCGGTTATTTACCCTTATATACATACATTCATATATGTATGTATGCCACTAATACATCTACAGGAGCTTATGTATGTAGGCGCAAATAAATTGAGGCCGAGTTTACGCTTTTCTTTCTACAACTTATTTATTATCAAAGTTGTGAAAAGTAGGGTTCGTGATAGTTTTTTTTTCTGCTCATTGGCAATTCTTAAAAGTAATTTCTACATTTGTTTTGCATTTCAAATACGCAGCGTTAAACAAAAAAATTGGGAAACATTTTTGCTTTCAAACTTACCAGTCTCGTTGCGGCCCAGGGCCAACGGCGACGTGCGGATGCCATTTCTGGCCGATGCTGAGGCAGCAGCTGTGGCAATTGCATTTGATGTTTGTGCATTTATCGATGGCAGAAAGAGCGATAGGAACGATAGGACAATCAGTAGCATATACAAGAATGATAGATTTGGCATTTTGAAGTAGCGCAAATGTTGCAATTGCAATCGAAGTGATGCGCAATTGCTTGCTTTGAGGTGATGTTGCGCTAGTATATCCTTTTGTTGTTGTTGTTGTTGTTGTTGGGTTCGTTGTTGCTGCTGCGCAAGCAAACTGATGTGCTGATGTGATGCTGACATTGACGTTAATGGCATTAAATTGTAGTGATGTGCTTGTTGTAATATCTGTTGTGGCTGTTGTTGTTGTTGTTGTTGTTGTTGTTGTTGTTGTACTATGCGGTGGTGCATGTGATGTTGCAATTGCGAGCATTCATTCTTACTAAACTTACTATTGCTAGAACTATGGTTGTTGGCGTTTATGTATTGTTGTTGTTGTTTTTGTTTGTGTGATGCATTAAATATATTTGTGGCATTATTGTTACTATTATTAATTGTAATATTATCATTATTGTAGTAGGAATTACAGCGAATTTGTTTCATCAGTCTTAAAAGTGGAGGACGTTGTTGTTGTGGTTGTTGTTGCTGCTGCTGCTGCTGCTGCTGCTGCTGCAGTGGCAGTGGCAGTTGTTGCTTTTGTTTCTGTTGTCTTTTATTGGATTTCGTTTTCGTATTACTATTAGNGTGGAGGACGTTGTTGTTGTGGTTGTTGTTGCTGCTGCTGCTGCTGCTGCAGTGGCAGTGGCAGTTGTTGCTTTTGTTTCTGTTGTCTTTTATTGGATTTCGTTTTCGTATTACTGTTATTACTATTTCTATTGCTATTGCTACTATTACTATTCGTCGTATGTTTGTTGTTGTTGCTGTTGCTGTTGCTGTTGCTGTTATCTTTGTGTAGAAAACTATTGAGTCGCTGGCAGATGGGTCGTAAAAGTTGCACTTGAATCCACAGCAACAACAATTGAAACGTACGCAACGTTCTGTCGATGGGCCTAGGCGCAGGCGCATATAAACTCGTTGTTGTTGTTGTTGTTGTTGCTGTTGCCACTGCCGTAACAGCTGTTTTGGTTGTAGTTAGCATATTTTGGCGTTGCTCGATGAATTTTGTACCGGCGGCGAGTGCTGGTAATGATGATGATGATGTTGATGTTGATGTTGTTGTTGGTGGTGTTGCTGATACTGTTGCTGTTGTTGCAAATGATTGTGCTGGTGATGCTGGTGATGCGGGCGATTCGGACGCTGTTGTCAAATCTAAATCANGGTGTTGCTGATACTGTTGCTGTTGTTGCAAATGATTGTGCTGGTGATGCGGGCGATTCGGACGCTGCTGTCAAATCTAAATCGATGCTTGTTGTTGCAACCTCCATTGGTGATGTATTTGTTGTTGAATTTGTTGTTGCTTTTGAAAAGTGTAATGCTGTTGCAGCTGTGTTAGGTGTTTGTGGCACGTTGCACGTGGCCCAATGCGTCCGCCGTCGACAGCTGCAACACACAGTTGCAGTTGTTGCCACTTCAGAAGTAGGATGCGTGCATTGTTGCATTACCGGCTGCCGCTGCTGTGACTCTGGCGCAGATGTGGCACAGCTCGTCAGCTTTGTTGCATACTGCTCGGCTGGTGTGCAGCGGTCTTCGGCCAAAAGTGCCGCTCGCTGAGCGCCGCAATCACACTCGTTTGGTTGCCATTTGCGTCCTTCGGTAGCAGCTGCGATCGCACCAAGTTGACAGTCACACGCTGTTGTTGCACATGTTGGTGTTGCCACTTCCACCGCTGCTGCACTAACGATTTGCTGCCATACGCCACTGTCGCGCTGACAACAGCTGCTCCGCAAGCTTTGGCCATATTTGGCTGGCGCTTTCCGCGTGCTGCTGCTGCTGCTGGCTGCCGATGTTGCTGCAAAAGTGCTGCAACAACGCGTGCAACATTCCTCCACTCGCTGACGACAAATGACGCACACATTTTGCCGCGTAGCTGCGCTTTCCTCAGCCAAGGCCAATTCGGCAGCTGACATTTGCTGTGATGTGATTGCCGCTACTGTTGCCGCCTCCATTCCTCTGCCATTCGCTCTGTGATGATCGCTCAGGCGTTCTCCTCCGCCGGTGTCTGTAGCATTTTGCATGCGTTGCGCCGCCGCTGCTGCTGCCGACCGTCGCCGACTACGTAGCGCATAAGTGGCCACCGTTTGGCTTACTGAGCGTGCCACATCGTCGTAACGTTGCCTTTGCACGGCCACGCGGCTGCTGTGGCTGTAGCTGTGGCGTTGTCCGCCTTTATTACTCAATCCCTCGCAATTAACGTCCATTTTCGCTAAACAATTTACGATTAACTTTTGGCATGAGCTTACATTAGTGCGGGAAAACCGCCTTTTCAAGTTAAAAAAATTTTTTTTTTTTAAATTTTTCTCAACCTTTTTGCTGTGGTTAGTTTTAATTATTAATGGGAGGCTCTGTGGTTGGTTTTCTAGGTTGTTGTTGTTGGTTTTTATTTAGCTTTTTGCCTTACGTCATGTTCCGATCGATGGCCTCATTATTTTCCTTGGTTTTGTTATTTGGATGGAATTTGGCATTTTTCGCACAAAATATAAAACTCCGCTGAAAAAAGAGTAAGAAGAAGAAAGAAAAAAACTATTAATAACCAATTTAACTAAGTAGAGCATGGATTTTTTTTATTCATATATATGTACTTATTTTTAGTCACTGACATGTAGCTGAAATACATATAAATGGTGAATATCGCTATTATTATTTTTTTTTGGGGTTATTTACATAAAAAAGTAGCTGAGCCATATCGTACCGTAATACGCCTTCTGCCAAGGTACCAAAACACCGGCAACTTTGTTATACAACAAACGTTAATTATGTTGTAGGTATTTACGTTCATTGACCATAGAGTTCAAGAAGACTTGCTTGGCTACCAAGCGCACGTTAATTATTTTGCTCACCCATCTGTACCTCCTATTAAATTTTCCAACACGTCCACATAAAATAACCTTATACCGCGTCCGCCGACGACGTGGCCGACGTCATCAAAGCAAGAAACACCCAGCTGGCACAGCTCAAACAGAACCTGATCATGCGTAGTGCCAGTGGATGGATGAGCGATCACGGTCTGCAATTGGCTACGGCCAAAACAGAGATCGTACTGCTCACCAAGAAGTGGATCCCAACAATTATAAACATGATGGTCGGGCCTCAGCTTAGGACAACTTGTAGGTCCACAAAATACCTATTTTTGAGGCTAGCCAATAAACTCACATTCTGGGAGCACATTCATGGGGTATATGAAAAGCCGCGCAGAGCACGGTGAATCTAAGCCGTCTGATGGCGAATGTGAGCGGCCCGAAATCATGCCGTAGGAAGCTTTTGATGGCAGCAGTCCAGTTGGTGCTCTTGTACGGAGCAGAAATATTTGGATATATATATTAAAAGTCAAAAAGTACCGGATTAAAATTTATTCGCTCCAACGCNGGAACGTGAGTACGAAAGGTCGATGAACGCACATCCTGATAGCCCACGTTCAGACATGGTTGAAACGACCGCACGGGGAAGTCGATTGCGACCTGACGCAATTCCCTACCGGTGGGAGTTTGGGTTTGAGTGGGTAGCCCAACACACGCTTCGGTGGGAGTCCCACACTCGGGGAAGGTAGTTTAGAGACTAGCGCCCCCAGCCAGTGGATAAAGCATTTTCTACCGTAGCCTCAATTAAGTTAAAAGAGAGTTGCGTCTCCAATCGGTTCTAAAGTAGATGAAGGGTTGAATAATTCTTCAAGCGTAGTTCGGTTTTCTTATGCAATTCTAAGGGTTGACTTAAAGAAATTATGCAAAAGCTGGCAGGGAATTGGATGCATGTGCGCTAAGTAAAGAGTATATCTCAACAAGTAAAGGGAAAATCAGATTAATCACATGACAAACTTTTGTTGACTTGTAAAAGGGATTATTTGCAATTTTCAAAGGTATATGTAACTATGTATGTTGGTTGTGATGAAATTCCCCACTTAAATAAATTCAAACGCAAAAAACCTCGCACATTACATCAGCGTTAGCGGCTGTGGGAAAATGAAAACAAAAAATTAAATAATTTCATACTTATTATGTATGGAAGATAGCAAACCTACAATCAGGTAGAGCTACAGGTACAGGTACAATTCATAAGCTCACGTGAATTTTCTACTATTTACATATACTTATGAACATAGTTTACAAGTACAGTTACTAATATTTGTGTGTGATAAATATTTATTCGCGTTCAGCAGCCAGACGAGAATGATATTGATATTAAAGGAAAAAGCGCGCCAATATAAAAAGTGTCTGTCATTGTGACGTTTGAACGCGCTCGGATGCACTTCAATTTATTCCCAGCGTAGAGAGTAGCGGCACTCTCTGCCCATTCCATTAGACGTACGAACAACAATAACAGCCAAATGACTTGGCAGTGACGGAGAAGCAGACTGTGGTGTTGGCATTCCGTTACTATTCTTGCCATACAAATTATTAGCCACCCACTGGCCTGCTGCTCTCCAGAGCAATTCAGCAGCGATATCAGGCATTCTGGTTTTTACGTCAAAACAATTTACGGCATATTTCTCGCCTGGTCGGGCAGCTGGCATCGGAGGTTAGGGCGGAAGCGGGTAGGGAGTATCTACATTTATAAATTTGCTAATGAGCGTCAGTAGCAAAAGGGCTGGGGCTGTCAAGTGTAAAGTGGAAATGAGTAAAATGTATGCCGTATTGCTTGGCTGGCTGGTGAAGTGGCTGATAATGGATGGAGTGAAAGGGATTATTGCCGTAAAATGTGAGTATACAGTAATGGGCATTAGTCAAGGCAGCAATAGCAATAAAACTCGAAGCGTAAATATTAACAATAACAAATGGACGTAGATGTGCAAAAAATGTGGCATTTATTGCAATGCAAATTACGCGCATGAAGAGACGTCAGCATGGCGGCGCATGAGTTTGCATTTTACGTACATACGTAGCGTCACTGATGCTGCTGCTCTCATACCGCCCACCGCCCGCCGTACATCGTCCATACGACAACGCCAACGCGCTCTCAACACCAATTCCACTTCCACTTCACTTTCCAAAGTAGTGCAGCGGAAGGCGGCGCGGTATAAAAACTATTTCGATTTGTTTTTTCCGGTGGTGTTTCAGCGTCAAGCGCCGTCGCGTCGTATTTGTTCTTGTAGTAGTCGTAGTGATAATGTTTGTTTTTGTTTTTGTTTTTGCTTATTTGTACGTGCTTGCCATTGTTGGCTACTTAGTTTCATTCATGGTTTGTCAACTCAGACATGCCAACCCGAACACGTCAAATGCAATAAATGGCAAATAGTGAAAAAATGCAAAAGGGGGAATACATTTTACTAGAAAAACGATAAACGAGCTATAAACGGCATCGATGACATAACTGTCTGTATTCGCATGTGTGTGCGCGAGTGAGTAGGCTTTGTGGTTGACTTGACTGGCTGGCGCCTGCTGAGTCAAAAACAATGCCGCCAACGCCAAACGTCAACCTGAATGCTATTATTTTATTTGCAAAAATAATGCAACAAAAACAAAAATCTGCATCGTTGTTACCTTTTGCTCTTATGAGGCGATACACATTATTTACTGTTATTTTTTTAACCTTTACTAACTACTGTCGTGGTTGAGTTTTTCGCCTTTGTCATTTCATTGATGACGTTTTGTCCAGCTGTTGGCTTTCAACTGCTCTGATAAATCACTGATTGGCGCTTAAAAGCAGCTGCCGAAATACTAACTTTGTTAGGTGGGCGTTGATATTTACGGCGTTTTGTAGCATTGCTTGTGGTTAAGTGTTCGTTTGTGTGGTAGTAACGGAAGCCGGAAGACAGACAAGTCGTTACAATGAAATCAGTATTAGGCTAAGAGTACATACGTATCAACTCTTATTGGTTTAAGCAAATGTTGTGCTGTAGCACAAAATTAGTCACAAAATTAGTCATAAATGAAAACCTTATTCTTGCTCTTATAATTATCGCTTCAAATTCCAACAACTCAAATTTTGTCTCTAATAGGGGATATTCTCAAATGCCCAGCATGCTTATGTATATGAGAGGCAAATGAGCCGAAGGTTAGAGTTAGAGCTTTTGCTTGGGCGCGGTGTTTTTCTAGATATGCTCGTAGCTGGAGTATTCAGCAATATGTCAAAGTGGGTTGGTTACTATTCCGACCATATAACTAGAAATAGAATCAATTGAAAAGATGTATGTATGTATGAATCGCTATAAATCGCAAATCTTCGTCAGACATATCGTAGCAGAATTATTGGAGAAAATTTATTTAAATATGGAAGAAAATACGTAACAGCCCTGACGAAAAAAAAATCCTCCGAAATTTTGGCTGCAAAATTGAATTCCCGAAAATTTTTAAAGAATTCTAATCGAAAATTTTGAAATTTTGATGTGAATTTTTTGAAGTTCGATTAGTTTTTGAGAAATTTGTGCAACCTTTGAAACTTTTATTTGTGTGATTTCTGTTATAAATTGATTTAAATTTTAAATAAGCATAAATTGCAAGCAAAATACATAATTTTGAATTTTGGTGCTATATTTTTGACGATCGCTGTATTTAATATTTTGGACGTGCACGGATCAAGATAAATAATACATTTCGATAAAATTTGAACATTGTATTCTCCAAAAAATGACAATAATTTCATTGGAGTAGGTTATATAAGGAAATTGATGCGGGTTCGATCCTTGCTCAAGTCTAGGTAAAGAAGTCTGATGAGGACGATCTACGAAATAGCAGCTATAACTTCTACCGCTTAGACTTTGTTGCTCTTCCATTTTCCCTTTAAAACAAATCATAGCGTATAAACTCAAGACTTATATTTATTTCATCTAAGAAAAGTAAAAAATGAAAAAAAAGTCTCACCCTAGTGTATTCGTACGAGTACAAATGTGTAGCTTCAGCCTCTTTTAACTGCATTCTAGTTAAGAAAACAGATTATACGACATATATATATATATATATATGTATACATATATGTATGCATATATGTATATATATTCGCCCACATTTTGCCACAGTATTTTTACCAAACTTTAAAACCAAGAAATTCTGAAATTCCGATCGGCATTGTTATTTATCTTGTAACATTTGTGTGTAGATTTGTATTTCGGTATAGATTTTGCAATTGCAGTGTAAAATTGAAAAAAAAACGACGACTAATTAGCAGAAAGAAGAATTTTTTTGCTGCTGTTAATTGCCCCAAATAACTCAAACACACGCCCAGGTATATTTATTTGCAAAATAGCAAAGAGTTTTTAGTCGATAAAATTTTTCATAGGCCAATCAAACGAACAGACAAAAAATGCCAATGCAAAGTGGAGCTACCAGTGAATGAATGGTGTTGAGTCAGAACTGGCGAATATTGGAATGAAGTTTAAATTCTGATAAAAAATATAGAAAACGAATTCAGAAACGAACCAAAACTAAAGGCATTGGGACTTTTAAGCGCAATTATTATTGAACAACTGAAGTTCATCGGCCCGCTTGAATTTGAAAAGGCTGGTGCTGCGCGCACGTCGACTAGCCGACCAGCCGACCGTCAAATGTCAACTGTCAGTCATTTTATTCACATACATAGATATCTA